CAGCATCCAACATCTGCAGCATCCAACATCTGCAGCATCCAACATCTGCAGGGTTCTTGTAGGAGCGTTCATGTAAATAGTGTCACCGTAATCAGTGGAGGGAAGGAAAGTGACAGATACAAGGTGTTTCCTAACATTCAGAGTTAGATTGCCTTGTAAAACTTTAGCCAGAACAATAAATATATCGTAGAGGTAAAATAGATATTAGTGTTAGTAACGTTATCTTTGTCGTCCTCAATGAAATGCATTGTTTGTCTGAAATCTTTACTTCTCTGCAAAAATTGTAAAAAAGTCTCTGCGGTCAATGCTAATTAGACCTTCACCATACACCGTGTTTCCCCTAGCGTACTAGCCTTGGCAGGGCGCTCATATCTTCTGTGATATTTGTCGATGGGGGGTGGAGATGGAGACACTGTTTGTAGCAAGAGTTTTCAGGTGGTGGAGACAGTTCAGCGTGAGGGAAACCGAGCGCTACCTCCAGACATATGTCTATGGCCACCTCTGTAGCTTTTTAGCTAGTGCGTCTATATTGCACGCCGCTAGCTTACTGTTTTGTCAGTGCCGGCAGTTATTGGGGGGCAGTTGGGTAGGCAGGGTGCTCGGTTCTGTTGACAGGGCGGGGCGCCCTGCTTGTGTAATGGTAGGGGAAACACTGGTGCGTGACTGACTGTTTAAACAATGAACAGGAAGGGCATTTTTGGTTTATATTTTTGTAGCACACTTTATAACTTTATGGTGAATAGTACAATACAATAATACAAACCCCGCTCTGCTCGACCCTCCAAAGCACAGACATCTCCTGGTATGGACACAAGTCATGCGGTCACCCCCAAACATCAGTGTCGTGTGTGTGAATACAGGGTTTGTCAGGCTGTGTGTGTGAAAGGGCTGGAGCTTACCGAGTCAACATTTCACTTAATATCAGTCCAATGAAGCGTGCATGAAGACTCATTCATGTAAACAAGTAAAATCCAAAATGTCTGATTTTCAAAATTCCTAAAGTAAGCAGATAATTTTTTTATATGTAAATTATTGTCACTCATTTTCTTATTTTATTTTTACAGATTTCAAAAGAAGCTCAGGGTAGTACGATGTACTTTATCAAGGATGTTCTTGGTGAAGGTTGTAACTTGTGCAGTTTTGTTCTAGAGGTAATCATGACTGACTGTGAAAATAGTCCATTTTAAGAAGGGCTTGCTGTGGAAATCTAAATAAAACTTTACAGAAGCACGTGAATTATTAAACGTTCCCTTCAAAAATGGTCTTTGAATTTGTTTATAGCAATAAACTGTATACGGACGTCGTACAGAATGCATTGTCACACAGCCTGCAGGAGTGGGGTAAATGACAAAACGTCCAGTCCAGCTTTAGAGCGCTTGCACATGTGATCCTGTGTGTTCTGGTAACCGGAGCTGACAGTTTATGAACGCCGTTCTATTTAGACTAAAACGAAGACCTAGTTAGACAAGACCATCAATTATGAGCTGTGTTGTTCCACGTTGATGAACAGGAGATGCATGACTCGTCCTTATTTCACAATCACCCTGAGCGCAGTATTTTTCCACTGTGAAGACGATACATAATATAAATTTTATATTTAAGGTAAAGTACAAACGTTTTCTATAACGGTGGCTGAGTGGTTAGAGCAGTCGTCCTCCAATGCGAGAGTTGGGGGTTCGAATCCACCAGCAGTCACATGCTGAAGTGTCCCTGGGCAAGACACTGAACCCCTCATAGCCTCTGATGTGTGTCCCATCAGTGTCTGAATGTGATCTAAAGCACTGTTAGCTTTGTAGAGATCTAGTATAGAGCTGTATGAATGGGTCAATGAGGCACAGATTGTTGTAAAGAGCTCTGAGTATCTTGAAATAAGATAGAAAGGTGCTGTATAAGTACCGTCCATTTACCATAACAGACTCATGGTTTATGCTACATTGTTAACCAGTCAACCAGTTTGATGGTAATAAGATGGTTGGTGGACCCACTATTTGAAGGTGCTGAGTTTGTTGTGGCTCCTCGGTCTGATGAAGTCTTTTGGATGAAAGACGAAGTATTTCAACAAAAACAACCCGTCATGGGGACATGACTTTACTGTTGGACTCCATTATTAATGTTCTTTTGCAGTTTGTAAGAACTGTACTTTGACAACAAAAGTATTTCAAAAAGGTAAAATATTAACATTCATGTTTTTGTAACGAGTGTTAAAACGGGTTTAAAAGTATAGCTGTTTATTTAGATTCTTGGGGTGACAAAGCTACTGGTAAAAAAAAAAAAAATCATCTATTATATCTGTTATTGGCACTAGCTCAGGCCTCAGTATCGATATCGGTGATAGCCAAAATTTCCATATCGGTTGGGCTGTATTAAAAATGCTGAAGTTGTAAATAAAACTGGATTTATTGTGAGCAATAGTCTGTGCTAAGCACTAAAAAATAATCTTGAAGGTTTCTTTATACTGCAAAGAGGATTTTAAAATGTGCACAATGCTGGTTTTGTGCATAGGCTTTCAGAGGGAAATGCTTATTTCACATGGAAAGGCTATTTTTATGCTTGGAACAAGTAATTTTCCAGCATGTCAGGTCACCATAACATGCCTCTGGTGCAATTCCTGAACACATCTAGAAAACTGAATTAAAACGTTTTGATTTTTGGCCTTTTCCCCCATTTTTGTCATGCATTACATGAGTGATGGGATTTAGGTTAAGTTTATCCAGTTGGACTGAGACGGTTGGAGACTACCAGTAGTTGGCAACTCTGAACTGCAGGGAAATAAGCACATTTTATTTTGCAGTCTCACTGAAATCTGTTTGAGACCAAACGACCAGTAAGTTTTTCTGGTGTGCAAAGCTTGCAAAACTAAATTCTTAGCCATAAACATTATTTTGTCTGTTTTCGCCCACATTGTACCCAGCCACCCCTGCATCTGTGATTTAATCTGCTGCCGTTTGAAATAAAGAAAGGAATATTTAGACCCATTTTGAAAAGTGTTGATTGGTGTAGATTTTAGATCTTCTTATGTTTTCTGTCAGAGGAGAGCTACCATACGAGTGTCCAAATACAGCTTTAGTGCATTAGAAAAACTAAATTGACGATGGTTTAATACACTTGTGACAACTCTAGTTTGAGAAATAATTTGTTGCACAACTTAAAAAAGTAAAAAATTCAAGCAACAAGGTAGCAAACCTCTGCAACAACGTACTAACTAGATTTGAGTCAAAAACCTCACAGCCATCACTCCAAGACATTTCCAAACCTCCACTGGTCATCAGGTCCCACTGCCTTCCCCTTCTTCATTTTTTTTCAGAGCTTTCTGTACTTCTCCTTCACTAATCTTTCCCACTTCCTGGTCCACAGTTTCTATGACCTCTACTCTTCTTTCTGTTTCATTCTCTTCATTCATTAGCTCCTCAGAGTTCTCCTTCCATCTTCTCATCATGGTTTCCTCACTTGTTAGAACATTACCATTCCTGCCTTTAACAAGCCTAACCTGCTGCACATCCTTTCCAGCCTGATCCCTCTGTCTTCCCAATCAGTACCAGTCATTCTCGCCCTCTTTAGTGTCCAGTCACACATACAACTCATAATTCAACTTCTGCTTTGTCTTAGCTACCTCCCTCTTTGCTCTACACTCATCTCCTTACATTCCTGTCTTCTCTCTTCAGTCCTCTCTGTCATATTTCTTCTTGGCTAATCTCTTTCTTTGAACATCTTCCTGCACTTCACTATTCCACCACCAGGTTTCCTGAACATCCATTCTCTGTCCAGATGACACACCAAGTACCTTCCTACCTGTCTCTCTAATTACTGTTGCTGTAGTAGTCCAGTCATCTGGAAGCTCTTTCTTACCACCCAGAGCCTTTAACAGCTCCTCTCTGAATTTATCACAACATTCTTCCTTCTTCATCTTCCACCATTTGGTCTTCTTCTCTGATTTGACTCTTCTTCACAACAACAGTCATTCTACACACAACCATCCGATGCTGTCTGGCCACGCTCTCCCCTGCCACAACCTTACAGTCTCCAATCTCCCTCAGGTTTCCTCTTCTACACAGAATGTAGTCGACCTGCGTACTCCTTCCTCCACTCTTATAGGTCACTCTATGCTCCTCCCTCTTTTGGAAACAGGTGTTGACTACAGCCATTTCCATTCTCTTGGTGAAATCCACCACCATCTGTCCTTCCTGGTTTCTTTCCTTGACACCAAACCTACCCATCACTTCTTCATCCTCTGTTTCCTTCACCAACTTGTCCATTCAGGTCTGCTCCATCACCACTCTCTCCTCCCTGGGAATACTCTCTATCACTTCATCCAGATCTTTACAAAATGTATCTTCCTCTTCCACATCACATCCAACATGTGGAGCATAACCACTGACAACATTTAGCATCAGACCTTCTACTTCTACCTTCAGACACATCACCCTATCTGATGCTTGTTTCACATCTACTACATTCTTTACCAATTCCTCCTTCAGGACCACCCCTACTCCATTTCTCTTTCTATCCACACCATGGTAAAACAGTTTGAACCCTGCTCCAATGCTGCGAGCCTTGCTGCCCTTCCACTTGGTCTCTTGGACACACAAAACATCTACCTTCCTTCTCAGCATCATGTCAGCCAGCTCTCTACCTTTTCCCGTCATTGTCCCCACATTTAGAGTTGCAACCCTCAGTCCTACATTCTTCACTTTCCTCTTCTCCTCTGTCTCCTGACATTTCCCTCCTCGTGGTCTTCCACTAACAGGAGCACAATTTCCGCCGGCACCCTGTTTGTCAACAGCACCGGTGGCGGTCGTTGTTAACTCGGGCCTTGACCGATCCGGTACGGTGTCTCTTAGATGAACTCGCACACAGTGTGTGTTTTGGCAAAAGTGTTTTACGGCAGATACCCTTCCGGACACAACCTTCACCATGTACACGGGGTTTGGACCGACACGAGAGAGAAACAACAACTGTTGTTTCATATAGCTGCCGTCACCAGAATACTTCTTGAATTCTTGATATACAGACTCTGATAAATGTGTTTGTACCATAGAGAGGATGTCAATAAGGGTTAAAAATAGAATAAACTTTTGATCCAAGTATTAAACTGTCAAATTTCTAGTTACATAAATGAATCAAACAACTCATTATGTCATGGTTTTATATCAACTTTTATTTGCCTGTTGTATATTACAATAATGAGCCATGTTCTTTTTAAATTCCAGTCTCCTGATTCTTGGATTGGTGGTGAGGAGGAACCTCTGACAGGCTTCACCTGGCGAGGCGGCTGTGAGAGAGAAACCACAGGTATTCTGGCCTGGAGCGACGTGTTTGTGGTGGAGAAACCAGACGGGAACAAGGTTGGTTCACAACAACTTCTTTTTCTTTTTAAGGTCGTGCTTCCATCGCAGGACTTGGTGAAAGTCTAAACTCTCCTGACAGCTTCTAAGAAGCCGGTCGACGTTGAAGTGTCGTTGTAGAAATGTTTCCTTTTTGTTGTTTCTCTCCCCACAGGTTGCAGTTTTACTCGTGGACACGCAGGGAGCTTTTGACAGCCAGTCTACCATCAAAGATTGTGCCACGCTGTTTGCCCTGAGCACCATGACCAGTTCTGTTCAGGTGAGCAGCAGCTCCGATCGTCTCCACATCGAAACTGCAGCTAAAAATGTTTCTACAAAATGAAGCATTTGTTTCGTCACCAGCAAAAGTTGTAAACAAAACTTACCGCGCAAAGATTACAGGCTTTTTAGAAACCGTGCAATCGTAGAAACTAAACCTGCAACTAGATGACTTTTAGTTCTTGTGGTGATTTTTCTGCTTTATGTCTAGTTATTGTTTTCCTCACCTCAGCTTTCACCTGTAAATAAAAATACAATTCACAACCTGAACGTGCTGTTAGACTATAATTATGAGCAGTCCTCCTTAATTCCAGTGAGACTTGCACAAACTTTGTCCGGTGTCATTTTAGAGCTCAAAGATTTGTGCAACTTATTTAAATTACCAACAATGTTGCTATAACAAAAATGCACCTTAATTAAAACTAAAAAACTACAAAGATGCAATTTAAAAGCTATATTTTAAGAAATAAATTTGTTCTAATTTACATTTTATCATAATGACAGCTGCGTTATTTAACGGCTTTTTAAAAAAGCAACAATCGTCACTTTTGTGTTATTTAAAACAATTTTCTCTAAACTTGAAACGTGGACTTTTGTATAATTTTAAGATAAACCTAGAGTCGAGTTCAAAATAGAAACAAATTAAAAATGACACTGCTTCACCCTGTGGTTAATTTTTGGAAGACGTACTTTAGGAGATATTGAAGGTTATGTTTTATAACGGCCGGACACGGCGGCATCACTTCCTGCCAACGTCTTGATCAGCTGCTGCTTCTGAGCTCAAGCATCAAGAGTGGACTCAGTTTCTCATGCACAACTTTCCTTCTTGACTTTTTGTACTTGATGAAAAATAACTGGAATCAGTTGTTTTTGTAACTTGAGGTTGGATTTCAGTAATTATAAAACCTGGTATAAAGTAAGATAATTTTTATTATGTCTCTTTATGTAAAACCCTGAAAGTTGAAGGAGTGAACGTTTACATGACTGGAGTTATACTCACATGTCTGGATCTGTCGTTGCACTCAGAGTAAATGATGGAGGATATTTTTTCAACACGGGTATAAAATGTCGTCAAGCCGTCTGACAGTTTTCTGTTAGTCCTTTTGATGTTGCTTGTCTGAAACGAGCAGGACGCACCTCAGCCTGTGCACACGACCAGCACACGATGAACTCATCGTGTTTGAACCCTTGAACGCACACAAACAGTGTGTACGTATCTTTTGTCTTATTTTATTTTTCCAGGTGTACAATTTATCCCAAAATGTCCAGGAAGATGACCTTCAACACCTCCAGGTCAGACTTTATTTTATTTATTATTATTTCTCTGATATTTGCATTCTCATTATTTAGGTGGCAACAAGGTAAAGGTAAGGTTTCTGTTGAAAGGAAAATGCATGATGTTCTCTGACATTTAAAATTTAATGCAAGTCAAAGCTGAACAAAGTGTCTTTTATTTTGACGGGCTTGGGGAGGGTGATCTTTAGAAGATCAGGTCCGTATAAGGTTCTTGTGATGTTTTGGGGCAGGTCTGTGCTGAGTTACAGTCCGGCTCACCAGCTGGAAGTAGAACGACTGGATTTTACTCCATTTTTGGTCCCAACTGCTTCCAACCAGTTATAAAACAGGAAAGGGCTGAACACCAACACTTTTGTTACTGATACTGAGTTCATTTTATTTTTTGACTGAGCATGAGCGCGGTCTGCCAAGTTCACTGTAAAATCTCTAAGTATCGGGCAAAATACCAACACAAATACTGTTTTTAACTGTGAACAAAGGTTTGTCAGCTCCCGTTATACTTAATCAAATTGACCAAACTGACGTTCTAAATCTTCTAAACCTCAGACTTCAGTTTTTCCATCCGTGTGAGCTGAGGTCTGAATGATTTCAAGTGTGCACTTGCACAATACTGAGCAAGCACATTACTGACAAACATCCAACACGAACACCACGATTCTTAAGTGTTTGTGTTGGATGTTTGTCTGAGTTTTTATTTTTTGCATGAAAGAGCATTTTTATTGTTGTGGCAATATGAAGATTTAATTCTGAATGTTTTTCTCTTCCTCAGCTCTTCACTGAATATGGACGACTTGCCATGGAGGAAGTCTACGAGAAACCCTTCCAGGTCTGGGTTTTTACACACAAATACACAAATACAAACAGTGCAGGGGATTTGAAGTAAACCAGAAGGTGAATATCTTAGTTTATATCTTAGATTCTTATTTACCGTTTCTCTTTACTCTTTATATTTTTGTTGGGTGTAACTGGGACCGTGTGTACATAATTTTGTTCCACCTCATGCACCACACGTGGTGAAATGACAATAAACCTACTTGAACTTGAACGTCTGCTCAAGCAGTGAACTTTTAAGCTTGAAAACAAAAATCTAAACAGAAAAGCATGTTATGGCCACTTTAGGTTAAAAAAAAAAAATCTCAGTTTATGGATTGACTTTTAGTACAGAACTGAATTAGTATTAGAAATCTATTTATTTATTTGTTTATTTTTCAAAATAATCTCAAATATGAGCAAGTTTCATGTCCAGAGTGGTTCAGAATATCTTTATTATTTTGAACCTCTCTGGACACGACTGCCTCAAACGAGTCGGCGGAGGAGAGGGTGGACTCCAGAAACCTCTGAGCACATCAAACTGGTTGACCCACCATGAGAAGGTGCTTTTTATAAGACTGAGTTTGATGTGGCTCCTCGGACTGATGACGTCTTTAGGACGAAGGACAAAATGTTTCAACAAAAAGAAACCGTCCAGAGGACCTGACTTAATTTGATATAGTTATTAAAGTTACTGATTTTTGTATTTAGTGTTTTTAGCTAACACATGCTAAGCGTGTTGCTACAGTTTTAAGTGCAGCTTAAACAAAAGTCACTGTACCATTCTGAACAAGGTGGCCATTACACCTGAAGTGTTGACCCTTCATGTTCTATCGGCCACCACCTCTGGAAATCAGTGGGTTTGTCCAGAAACTGAACATTATCGTGAAACAAAAGTGAATTTGCTTCTGTTTTCAGACCCTGATGTTCCTGATTCGAGACTGGAGTTATCCCTATGAACATCAGTACGGTTTGGAGGGGGGGCTAAGCTTCTTGGAGAAACGACTGCAGGTGAACATTTATTTATTTTATTTTTTTAGGCTTTGCTGCATTGACCTCATTTGTTGCTTTTACTGGTGTTTGAGCTTTCACTTTAGGTAAAATATCTGTTCAAAGTGCCGTTAGCGCAGTCGCCTCCCAATTTTAAGAGTTGCCAAAATGTCAGCCGTGAGTAGCAGCTTGATGTCAAAGTATGTCGGATTACTGCAGGAAGAGAAAAAACTACGACTCTCTAGTATTTATTCAGAGTGAAACAGTTAAAATGCACCAGAGCAGGGGTGCCAACCTTTTTGAACCGAGACCTTCTTGTCTCGTCTCAGTATCGAACACATGGTTACTCTCCTAGTCCCACCGTGGTTCATAATGTTGTCTTTCCACTCCCCACTTCCACAAAGACCAGCAGATCAAGCAGAATATAGCATGCCACCAGTTTTATGGACCTCATTAAAGAGTCGAGACAAACGAAACCGTCCACCTAAAACACCTAGAATTACCTTCCAGAGAAAAAGGAAACAAACGACAATCTTCCACTGCAGAGGAACTTGTGCGACTGATCAACGCTCTTGTGTTTAGGTGAAACAGAACCAACACGAGGAGCTGCAGAACGTCCGGAAACACATCCACTCCTGCTTCTCCAACATCAGCTGCTTTTTGCTTCCACACCCCGGCCTTAGAGTGGCGACCAACCCTCACTTTGACGGTCGTCTCACAGGTAAAACACTTAGCACGCCAACTCCGCTCAAACGGGCTCCAGCTGGGTTCAGCAGCATTTCAAGGCAACTTAATTAAATTATAACAATAATTTGATACAACTGAAATGAAAAAAACACAAACTATTGACTCCAAAATAAAGTTGTAATTAAAATAATTGAATGTTAATGTTTAATGATTGCATCTGTCTATGCTCGATATGTACATGACAGTATACAAATGTATTATAGTCACTGTATGAGAGGCGGGGGACACCCTGGACATGTCTCAGTCCATCACAGGGACACAGAGACAAACGATGCAAACACCCATTCACTCGCTCTCACCTTGTGAGTTACCAATCAGTCTAACATCTGTGGGAGAAAACCCGCGCAGCACAGAGGGAACATGCACACTCCACCCAGAAAGGCCCCTGGTTGGGATTAGATCCAGCGTTGTTACCGGTGTTAAAAATGATTTCAGCTTGTTTCTGTTTTTTCAGATATCGATGAGGAGTTTAAGATGCAGCTGGTGAACTTGGTGCCAACGCTTCTCTCTCCTGACAACCTGGTGGAAAAAGAAATTGGCGGTGTAAAAATCACATGCAGAGACTTGCTGCATTACTTTAAAGTAAGTTTACCAGTTTGTAAACATCAAGTCTGAACTCAGCTTTTTATTTGATTCATGCAGAACTGAAGCTGCACGACACGGATGAGAAATGTTTTTGTTTTTTTCTTTTAATGAGGGAAAAATGTCTAAAGGGGTTTATTGTCTTCCAGTAAAATATTTTCTAAATAATGATGAGGTCTGCTCTAACCGTAAGTTACTGGTGACTATTATTCCCTGTGTCGCAAAATTTCTGCGTTTACAAGGTTTATCTAGCAAACTCAAAACGGGGTGGGTTGAACTCGCCATAAAGTTTCTTGCTTTCAGTTTTCTTGTCTCCTGTCGCAGACCGGAGTGGAATCCGAAATACCGTCTGTCTTGTGAGCCTTATAGCTCGAAAAACAAGTGAGATACTCGCTTTCGTTTTGATGTGCGGCTGCATCTAGGCGTCAAAAAAGGTCCTGATCAAAAACTGGGTTGCTACGTCAAAATCCAAGATGGCCACCACCATATATCCATACCGCCATCATTTGAGAAAGCTATGCTTGCTAATATTTATATTGCTTAAAAGTACAACTTCCTCAAATGAATGGGGTGACTGAAGATAGGTTATAATTAGTTTAGTTTATTGTTTATTTGTCATATGCAGGTCAACACAAGGTCAACAATGCAATGAAACGCTCGGGACGAGAAGAAACGTCTCGACTCTTCAAAAAAGAAAAGAAAAACCAAAACATGCTACAAAAGTACAAACCAAAGGACCAAAGTGAAAAAGAAATGCAACATCTACAAGGTCCAAAAGAAATACAGTAAACAGCATGGTAGAATACAACAGTGCAAGTAGGATGAATCAGTACAAAGTACCTCATAGAAGACTGTTTTAGACAAACAACATATAGTACAGACAACAATATACAACAATAAAATGCAATAAAAATAGTGTTATAAAAACATTTTATTGTTAGCATGATCCTATTAGCAGTGAGGTTATGTTAGCAATAAGATTCTGTTAGTGAGGTTCTGTTATCAGTGACATTCTTCTTTTAACAGCATGGTCCTGTTAGCAGCATGTTCTTATTAGCAGGATGGTTCTGTTAGCAGCATGGTTCTGTTAGCAGTGAGGTTCTGTTAGTTAGGTTCTGTTAGCAGTGACGTTCTTCTTTTAGCAGCATGATGATAATAAAGACTGCTGCAACAGACGGTGACTGCCCTCCGGAACAGAGTTTGGCAGACACGAGACATCCAAAGTTCCCAGCGGAACCAATTTGTTCCGTGGAGTTCGGTCCATGAAGGCAGAAAGGCAGATGGAGGATCGTGGAGACGGCCGCCATGACAGGCTCTGGAGCCTGAGCCCGAGGGGGGGGACGGGGGGGGCGGAAGGGGGTGGGGGGGGTGTGGATGTGCAGTGCAGGCGCCGAAAAGTCAAAAACAACAGGAACAAAGAAAGAGCGGAGCTCCCGTCAGTGCTGCCGCTGCAGCGCACGTGACGTGCTCAACGTTTAATGACCAAGGCCACCGTTGGCCGTCACGTTTTAATTCTCTCAGCAACAGCTTTTCACTTGGAGACGCACCGGTCGAGCTGAAAACACCTCGATTATGTTCACCAGCTAATTGATCAGCACAGCCCTGCGTCTCTGATGAGTAACGTTTAGGTTTCTTAATTTTGTTATTGATTGTTGTTGTTTACACGTAAAAGGACTTTGCATGCGCAGTTCACAGGTGTGTTCTGTCAAGGTGAAACTCCTCTGCATGAGCTGAATAAAACGTAAAAGCTTGTGATTTTTATTTTTAAAAAGTAGCCATGATTTGTCTTAACTAGTTTTCTTTCTTCTCATTCAGAAACATAAACCAAAAAAAAATCAATTTTAAATAATTCTGCAGCTCTTTGAGTTGGTTTAAAAAACATTGTATGTTAAAATAAAAGCTGTATTTATTTAGTAGTTTTTTAAATTGTATTTTTCAGTGGTGGTTTTGCAAACTTGTCATTTTTTGTGCTGTGTTTTTAGGCCTACATGAAAATCTACCAGGGGGAGGAGCTTCCTCACCCCAAGTCGATGCTGCAGGTCAGTTCAACTTGTGAATCGGCTGCTTCCAATATGTTTCAGTGTTCAACCTTTTCATTTTGTCTTTTTAATGCTGCACACTGTTTCACTCCTTCGTCCGACGGCTTCTTGTTTCTCTTGTTATAATCGGAGGTTCACACAGAAACACATTTTTTATAAAACAATATGATTTGACTCGTTTCTAAAATAAAAAATCCTCATAAACCTGGCACCATTCAAAAGAAATGTTTTCCTCCACATGGAAACACAGAAAATGACAAAATGCTGAGGTCAGCCCTCAACTGCTTTTACGAAAACACACCAAAAACAGGAAACGAGGAGTGGCGCGCGGCGCAGGGCTTACGCACTGGGTGTGAAACGTCAACGCAAAAACAAGAGGATGCTCCGTGTCAGAGTTAAGATTAGAGGTGGGTCTATGAAAACATTGTTTTGGCTGAGTGGTTAGAGCAGTCCTCCAGTGAGAGAGTTGGTGGTTCGATTCCACATGCTGAAGTGTCCCTGGGCAAGACACTGAACCCTCTGATGTGTGTCCCATCTGTATGTGAATGTGATCTAAAGCTCCGATTAGTCTTTGTACACATGTAGAGTGCTGTATTTTCATTCATTCAACCTTTATTTAGACAGGTTAGTCCCATTGAGCCTCCGGGACTCGTTTATTTATTTATTTATAAAATTTATTCTTTTTTTTTTTAAACAAAACAACTCCATTAACAATAAAAAAATACAATCAAAAATAAAAATGAAAGTCAGCAGAAGAAATAAAAAAATCTTATTTTATCTGCCCCTTTTTTTCCAACAATTAATTCAAACAATAATAATCTTCAAGTAACAAAACGGCTAGATTAAACGGTGGTGCAGAAAAATGTATGAATGTGTGTTGGAGGCAACTGAGGCACAGACGGTTGTAAAGATCCTTGAGCATCTTGATTAGATAGAAGGAGCTGTTTAAGTTCAGACCAGTTTTCATAAAGACTGACTGAATACATGAAAACACAAAGGTGACGCTGCAAAAATGTTGTTTTCCCTACTCTGAAACCAGTTTTTAAACATTGCTGGTTTGGGGCTCCTAAAACGTTTCCATGTGGACATGAGGTTTAAATATCTGTTTACAAACATCTGCTCATTCACCAAACAGGATTTCAGTTTGGACAGAACCTAAATGGGTCAAGCTTTAGCCACTATTCGGAAATGTTGAGAGAAGATGCAGTGGAGCAGTGTTGGCCCACAGCTTTTTAATTATCATCTTGTTGTTGTTGTTGTTGTTGTTGTTGTTGTTGTTGTTGTCGTTGTTGTCGTTGTTGTCGTTGTCGTCATCACATGCAGGTCAGCACAAGGTCAACATTGTATTGAAATGTTCAGGACGAGAAGAACCAATTCAACTTGCAAAAAAAACAAAGAAATACTAAAGCATGCAATAACCGTACAAAATAAAGTACCAAAAACTGAAAAATAAATATAATATTTACAAGGTCCAAAAGAATTATAGTAATCAACAACATGGTAGAATATAACGGTGCGAGTAGGATGACTTCGTTTAAATAAGTACACTACCTGGCAACCAAAAACGTCGCCACCAAAATAAAGGTCATAAACTAATATTTAGTTGGACAAACTTTAGCTTTGATTACGTCATGCATTCACTGTGGCATTGTTTCGATGAGCTTCTACAATGTCACAAGATCTGTTTCATCCAGTGTTTGACTTGGACCCTCCAGAACATGAACGTTATTCTTCTTGAACATTCTTCGGTAGAACCTCTTGTGTGCTGAGGGTCATTGTTGCTGCATGACCCACCTTCTCTTGAGGTTCAGTTCATGGACAGATGTTCTGACATTTTCCTCTAGAATTCTCTGATATAATTCAGAATTCATTGTTCCATCACTGATGGCAAGAAGTCCTGGCCCAGATGCAGCAAAACAGGTCCAGACCATGAGACTACCACCACCATGTTTCTTCAGCAGGAATGCTTTTGTCCTTTCTCCAAACAGAACTCTTTTCATTTAAACCAAAAAGTTCTACTTTGGTCTCATCGTCCACAGAACATTCTTCCAACAGTCTTCTGGTTTGACCACGTGCTCTTCAGCAAACTGCAGACGAGCAGCATGTTCTTGTTGGAGAGCAGTGTCTTCCTCCTTCAACCTGCCATGAACCATTGTTGTTCAGTTCTCCTCATGGTGGACTCATGATCATCAGTCAATGTGAGAGAGACCTTCAGCTGTTAGAAGTTACCCTGGAGTCCTTTGTGACCTCGCCTACCACGTCTTGCTCTTGGAGTGATCTTTGTTGGTCCACCACTCCTGGGGAGGGAACAACGGTCTTCTTGAATGTCCTCCATTTGTCCACAATCTGTCTGATGTGGACTGGAGGAGTCCAAGCTCTCACAGACTTTCCAGCATCACTGTAACTGGTCTGAAGTGTGTTGAACAAAATGTGTGTATTATTTGTGACAGTTTTTATGATTTACATTTTCATGTTAGCTTCGCTAAAATTAAGTAACTCTGCTAATGTGCTGTCATTTGTTACCCAGGCAACAGCCGAAGCAAATAACCTAGCAGCTGTAGCCGGAGCCAAAGACATGTACAACAAAAACATGGAGCAGGTATTGAGTGGATCCTTCGTGTCAAAGGTCCCGGTTTGTGTTTCATAAAACATTAATGGTGTTTTTCACTCTGTCAGATCTGCGGTGGAGACAAACCTTACATTTCTCCAGCAGAACTGGAGCGCCGTCACACTGAACTACGGCAGTCATCCGTGCGGCATTTCCGCTCGGTTAAGAAGATGGGCGGTGAGGACTTCTGCAAGCGCTACCAGGACCAGCTGGAGATGGAGCTCGATGAAGCTTATGCAAACTTCAGCAAACACAATGACGGCAAAAACATCTTCTACGCAGCACGAACGCCCGCCACGCTGTTTGCCGTCATGTTCATCATGTACATTGTGTCATTGGTCACTGGCTTTGTGGGCATTTGTTCTGTGGCCATGCTGTGCAATCTGATGATGGGCGTGGCTCTAACAGCGCTCTGCGTCTGGGCTTACGTCAAGTACTCGGGAGAGTTTCGTGAAGTTGGCGGAGTCATCGACAAGGTGGCTGAAATCCTCTGGGAGCAGGTAAGCAGTTCAGCTGTGGAGCGGGAGCTTTTTGACTCTTTAGCTTTAAATAAGCGTGAAGCTTCTCTAGTGGATTCAAGCTTCAATACAGTTGAGGTCCAAAGTTTATACCCATTCACCGTGAACGTGCATGACATTAACTTTAGACAGTTCAGTTCAGTTTATTTCTAAAGCTCCAAGTCACAACAGAAGTCAACTCAGGGACTGAACAGAAACATTCATATATAAAAATAATAATTTAACATTATTTGTCTGAGGAGCAGCTTTCAGTTTAACTCCATCAAAGAACTCGCATCTTGAGCAATAATGAAGGCGACAGTGGAAAGAAAAAACTCCCTCGTGAGGAAAAAACCTTTAGCAGAACCAGGATCAGGACAAGAGGACCATCTGCTTCGACCGGCTGAGTCTGAGAGGAACAGGAAGGAGGAACAGATACACAATGGCAGACCTTATAATAATTCAAACTGTTCTTTTTCCAAGATGGAATAAAGATAAAACATGATGCAACCTTTAAAAACAAAACTAGTTGATTTTATTGTTACAAGCCGCATACGGGAAGAAATAGAAAAACATGATTTCTGTCTATACAAATAACTTAGAGTAAATTTTAGCTTTTTTATTAGATATGTAATGTGATGTTTAAAATTAAAGTCTTTATCCAGCCAAATACCAAGGTATTTGTATGTGTCTGCAATATCTGTGATATCACCATTCAATGTTTTAATAGAAGGAATGGTTACTGCAGAATTATGGGAAAACAACTTAGCTTTGGTTTTGCTTGCGTTCAGGACTAATTTTGAATCACGAAGAGCAGAAGGTGCTGAATCAGTCTGAAGAGTTAAGTGTACTGATCTAGAGAGGGTGTTGACTAGTATAGAATTATATCATCTGGGTACATATGGTAAGAGGAGAATTTAAGTTGATCACAGATTTGATTATTATAGAGTAAAAAGAACAAGGGCCCTAAAATAGACCCTTGTGGAACCCCCTTGTTCAATGTGACCGCACCTGACAAAACTGAGCCAAATCGAGCAAACTCGACGTGTTTAGTTAAGTAGCTGTTAAACCAACTGCTTTTTGTAGCCATCAAAGAGCTTCTGGTAGAAAACTGTCTAAGATTTGAACACCCTTTTTGGAAGACCGGTAGAGTTCCTTTAAAACTTTGTGGACTATTAATAAAAACTTAAATTAGGTTGAAGTCGGGGTTTTGGGAAGGCCGTTCCAGAAGCTGTTGCCTGTTTGGTCCAATCAGAAACGAGTCTTAATGTGTGAGATCTTGGTCCTGTTTGATCACCCAACTGTGTCCAAGTTTAAACCGTCCAGCTGCTCATTTGAGGTTAAATTAAATATGTATGCATAGTTTTGTTCATGAGTTAATTAGAAATAAAATAAATCATTGAAGTTGTTTGTAGTATCCCATCTGAGAAAAGAAACTGTTCAAATGAATCACTAAAAGCTCCAAATAACAAGATTCCTGCCCATGATCAAAACTTTGTACTGAAACTGTGTGGCATCTCCAGTGGGCGATACTCTCACTTAATTCATTGCAGCATACAGAAAGGAACTAATTTACTGGAACAGACCTTTTTTTTTATAAATTTAATTACAATGTGAAATATTTATCTATTTCTCTTGTGCAAGGTACCAAACCTAAAAACCTTTTTAACTGTTTGCATACAAACAGATTTTTGTCTTTAATCCTCCTAATTCTTTCTGTGGTTTGTCTTTTATTGCATCAGAGGACTCCTCGAAAGGTGAGAACTTCACTAAAACAACTGTTCCAACAACGGAAAGACTTCTCTTTACAT